GCAGTGTGGCAGCTTCCTGGGGCAAACTGTGCTGGTTCAGGCACAGGGACCGACAGACCAAGGACTGACAGACCCTCGGGATGAGGCACAGGGACCGACAGACCCTCGGGAGGAGGCACAAGGACTGACAGACCCTCGGGATGAGGCACAAGGACTGTCAGACCTTTTTTGTCAGTGCAAATGGCAGCAAACGCACCTTTTCAGGCAGGGGAACCGAGGCACAGATTTGAAGAAGGAGGAGAAGAAAGAGTGACTAGGGTAGGCCTGGTTTGCTGCCCTGGGACACCCCCACCATGAGCCCCCTGCCCGGTGTGAACTCCAGCCAGGCTCTGCCAGTGGCAGTGCCCCCAGACCCATCCCGGGTGTCCCCAGGGCCAGCGGGGCTGTCCCAACTCCCTCAGGGCTCAGTRAAACCCTGAGGCCAGACTGGGGCAGGGCAACCGGGGAAACTGAGGCACCGGCAGTCCCTGAGCACGGGGARGTGCTCCCTCCAAACCATGATCCCATCAGTGACTGGGGTTTCCAGGAGAATTGCTGGGATTTGGCTGCTCCGAGCCCATCTCTAGGCTGGCTGTGGGTTTTCCAGCCAGGCTGGGTTTAATGCTGAGCTCTGCTGGTTTGGGGTTTATCCAAAACCGGCCTCAGAAGTAAAAGCCTTGTTGGGTTCCCGGTGTGCTGAGGGGCAGAGGGAGCAGAGCAGAGCTGGGGAGATGAACTGCACCCCAGTACAAGGCTCAGTTTACCCCTCTCGGTTCCAGAGGTGTCCCAAACACAAAGCCACAGGGCAGCTGTTCCCAGCGCTTTGCACTCACATTTGCCAGGTGTGGAAAGCACCTGCACCCCCTCACCAAAAATCCCTGCCCCCAAACTATCTCATTCTGCACTGTCCCAGCCACACTGCCCCAGGGGAGCCTCCTTCCTGCCCCGCTGAGCCCATCTCTGCTGCCAAAGGCAGTTCAAGGCCCTGTGATTCTGATTGTGCCTGCCCAGCCCAGCTCCTGCTGTGCCCGTGCTGGCACTGCCCTGCCCTGTTCCTGCGGTGGGAACCTGGGCAGCTGCTGCTGCGTGGCACAAAAGGTGGCTGAGATAAGGGACTTCCCCTGTGTCCCCTGCAGCATCCAGCACGGACTGTGCCAAATGAGAGGAAGAGATGGGGCACAGCAGTTCAGGGCAATCAAAAAAGACCTCTGACAGTTCCTGTGCCTCAGGATGGAGACTGAACTGCAGTTGTGCTGCTTTACAAGGCCATGTCAGATCCTGGTGCCTGAAGATGACTTTCTCCTCCTCCTCCTCCTCCTTCCAACCTAATGTGGGGATGGTTGCTGAAGAACTTCTCGAGGACTAGAGAAACTCCCCACATGCTAAAGCTGGCAGCTTTGTGCAGGCCCAGGTCAATCCATGGGACAGCTGGACTGACTGATGGCTGGGAGGAGACMAGAACCTGGAAAGCTCCAGTTCTGGATCTGGAGAGTGGACAAATGGGGCTCAGGGTCTGGGCACGGATCTGGTCTGCCCTRGAGCACAGTGAACCGAACCAAGTGGGTGAGGGTCATGTCCTGTCCAGACCATGGCCTGAGGAGGAACAGGGTTGGGTGGTGCTGGCCATGCCCACGTGAGCACTGCTGGTGTGGGTGTGGGGACAGTACAGGCACTGCTCTCTGTGACCGTCCTTTTGCCACCTGGGACCAGGCCCCAGGGAGTCCACGTTGGTGACCAGCTACCCACCCTGAGGGRTGTTGGATGAAGGGCATCAGGGGGTGAGGGGTCTGCCTCTGGCAGGGTCACCCTCCACATCTGGGCTGTTGTCCCAAACAGGAGCTGACAACAGAAGGTGCTCCCAGGTCCACCAAGGGACCTCTAGGGAAGAGCAGCTTTWGGGCTCAGCCTTAACCAGAAGTGGTGGTTTCTCTCCAAAACATGAGTTCTGTCTTCCCTGGTTCTGTCTCTGTGTCACCTGGAGCGTTTTGMCTGGCTCAGGCTACACCATCAGCCTTCTGTCATTCCACAATTAGCATTAGGCACTAATTAGGCTACTGGAGTTCCACGAGGTGCTGCAGCTCAGCCTCCTCAACTGGTTCATCTGGACTTGGAATCAGAGTCACTTGGAATCAGGTTTGGGTTGGAAGGGACCTTGAAAACCATCTCATCCCAACCCTCTGCACTGCCAGTGCCATGTCCCCAGGTGCCTCCCTCTGCCTGGCAGAGCCTTGCCCACACTGAGGGTSAGACCCCCTGTCCTCTCCCTTCTGACCCCATCCCTCGGGAAGGAGCTCTGGAACACAGTGTGGGTGCCAAAGGCTCCACGGGCTCAAAGAGGAGTGAGACAAATCCACAGGAGAGCCWTCCTTGGATCCAAACCAGCCTCTGGCCGAGGAGCCCCAGACTCTTCGGTGCTGAGGAGCAGCACTGTGGGTTTTCCTTGTRCCCAAACCCTTCCCCAGGGACCTGCAGGTGTCCGAGCTCCCGGAGCAACATCTCCCGTGCTGGTGCTCGGGAGACTCGGCTGAGCCTCGCTGCCTCAGCGTGAGCCCTCTCAGTGCAACTGGGAGCGCCTGGGGTAACTGGGGAGCCCCGAGGGTAACTGGGAGCCCGGAGCACCCGTGTGGCCAGAGCCAGGTGCCGTCCCGGCCCCTGCGAGGGAAGGTGTGGAGCCGCGATCCTGCAAATGCCGCTGCCCTTCCCCGGACCTGCCCCGGCCCGGCCCCGCGGGCTGCGAGCGGCGAGCGCGGCTCGATGGTTCCCTCTGCCGGGGCTGCGGGGCCGGAGGCGGGGGCGGCTGGGGACGCGACAGCGGGGGAAAGGATGAGAGAAGCGGGATGAGGATGCGGGATGAGGATGCGGGATCAGGATGCAGGATCAGGGAGGCAGGAGACAGGATGCAGAATGCAGGGACAGGAGGCAGATGGAGGATGCAGGATGCAAGAGGCAGATGCGGGATGTGGAACGCAGGTGCAGGAGGTGGATGTGTGATGTAGGATGGAGGAGGTGGGATGTGGATGTGGATGCAGGATGTGGATGTGTGGTGCAGGATGGAGCAGGTCGAATGCAGATGCAGGTGCAGGAGGTGGATGTGGATGCAGGTGTGGGAGGCGGATGTGTGATGTAGGATGGAGGAGGTGGGATGTGGATGTGTGGTGCAGGATGGAGCAGGTCGGATGCAGATGCAGGTGCAGGAGGTGGATGTGGATGCTGAATGTGGATGCAGGATGCAGCAGGTGGGATGCAGATGCAGGTGCAGGAGGTGGATGTGGATGCAGGATGTGGGTGCTGAATGTGGATGTGGATGCAGGATGGAGCAGGTGGGATGCAGATGCAGGTGCAGGATGTGCCATGTGGATGCTGAATGCTCCGGTCCCTGCTGCCCCCATCACCCTGTGGCCTCAGCCTGCAGTGGGGGCTCCCCGGTGACCAAGGAGGGGACACATCTCCCTTTTGGAGACTGCAAATCCRTGGAGCCACACAGGTTGTCCCACACCAGATGCACCCAGAGGCTCCTGGTGCCATGTCAGGACCTTCACAGAAAGACTGTTTTTTCTGTTCTTCTTCCTTTTGCTACATTCATCCTTTTCCTGGAGCAGAAAAAGGAAGTCCAGTCCCCATGAGAGGACTCTCACCTGCATGGCTGCTGCTGAGGAACTTCACCTGAAGGCTTTTGCAGAGGATCCTCAGCTGAGCCTCTGTCAGACWGGGTCCGTGGGCCCTGGGGAGGTCAGGGGGTGTATAAATATCACCACCTCCCTGCCCCAGGAATCACTGATGTGGGAGAAGATCTCTAAGATAGAGAGAAACTATTCACAAGGGCCCAGAGTGACAGGAGCCAGGGAATGGCTTCCCAGTGCCAGAGGGCAGGGCCAGATGGGATATTGGGCAGGAATTGTTCCCTAGGAGGGTGGGCAGGCCCTGGCACAGGGTGCCCAGAGAAGCTGTGGCTGCCCCTGGATCCCTTTGAGTGCCCAAGGCCAGGCTGGACATTGGGGCTGGGAGCAGCCTGGGACAGTGGGAGGTGTCCCTGCTGTGGCAGGGGGTGAAAGGAGATGATCCTTAAGGTCACTTGCTACCCAAATCACTTCAGGATTCTGTGATTCCATGATTCTCCTGTACTCCTTTACCTTTGTGCCTGAGAGCCCCAGGAACACCTGTGGCAAACCCAATCCAGCCTGAATCCCACCTCAAGGTGGGTCCTGCCTCCCTTGTCAGCTCCTCTGCAGACCCACAGCCCTGGTGCCTAAAGCTGCCTATCTCTGGGAGCTGCATTTGCTTTGCTGGTTAATCTTTAACTCTCTTTTGTGTCTGCAAGAATAGCTGTTCTCACTGATAACCCCTGCCTGATCCCTGTGATCCCTRTGGGCTCTGCTCCCTAATTAACTGATGGAAATTGCTGATATCCCTGGCACAACAGCAGTGGATATCCAGCACTCTGCTACAGCATTTTAGACTTTATTGAGGTATTTATTCATTCTTTTTTTAGCAAAGAAAGCAGGCACAGCCTCATTCTCCATTAGACGTGTCTGTGGGAGGGAAATCAATAGAGGAAATTATGTTTGGTTCAAATATTTATGCAGTGACGTCTCTCAGGGTATAGGCATTTCTCCAAATTAACATCTTAGGTGTGCRATGCACGAAGCCACATCGACTATAAAAACGGCATACACAGAGCCATGGAATCATGGAATGGTTTGSATTAGAGYGAACCTTAAAGACAACAGAATCAGAGAATMACAGAATAGARTCCCTGAGGCTGGGAAAGCCYTCCCAGCCTATGGAGCCCAGGCTGTGACAAATCCCCACTTTTTCACCCAGCCCASAGCACTCAGTGCCACCTCCAGCCCTTCTGGGACACCTCCAGGGGTGGGGACTCCACCACCCCACAGGTCTCCCAATGCCTGACCACCCCRTCTGCRAAGAAATTCCTTCTGATGTCCAGCCTGAGCCTCCCCACACATCTTGAGGCTGTGATAATCATGGGGATCACTCCTCTCAGGTGGAGTTTTATTGCCGCAGTCTGTGCCGTTTTTCCAGTGAGCACCRGGTGAAGAGCTTGCCCTTCAATTTGTAAGGTGACTTGTGCAGTCCTTCTGGGCTCTGAGACCTCACCACCCACTCTGCCATCCCCACAGGTCCCCAGCTGCAGCCCAGCTCACACCATCACTGTGGGGTCACATCTGGCTTCTTGCACCTTTCTGGCGGTCCAGAACCGACCTGGTTTTCACTCTGTACACAATGGGACTCATCATGATGGGACCAGCAGCAGATGTTGGCCTTGTTCTCCCAGGTGAGCAGTGGGAGAAGCATTTTCATAAATTTGTGAATCTTGGACAGGCTGATCAGTGTGATATTGGACACTAGCTCAGCACAGGTGTGGGAGGTGCAGCTGTTCAAGGCCTTGGTCCTTASTGGTGGAGAAAGTGTGGATGAAATATATCTTTTGTTGGAGTTGAAGCAGGTGTATTGGAAATAAAACCCACACAGCCCATCCTGCATCTCCAGCCCATCACTGTCTGCTCTGCTGGAAGACTCAGACAGGAACCGGTGCCCAGACATGGTCACCAGTGTGGAACTGTTGGGGAGCCACTGTCCTGCACAGCCTCGGAGCCCCAGTTCCCCTAAAGAGCCACCACCAGCCACGCTCACTGCAGTCTCCTGGTGACCTTGGGGTCACTCGTATCCACCAGGACCCTTTTGCAGTTCTCCTTTTTGGTCAGATAATCCTCACTGAAATAAAAGCACCAATTAAAATGAAATTTAACCCAAAATCTGTGGGACAAATCTGCTCAGGCCCAAGGCAACAGCACAGTCTGTCCTCAGGCACTGGTTTATTCCTGCTAATTATGGTTAATGACAACAATGGGCTGGTGTGATTCAGCTGAGTGTTTGAATTGTGGGACTGACTTTGTAAGCACCCTCATATCTCCCAGTTCATGAACCATTTTGATTGCAGGAAGGTGATCAGCACCCAATCTGTCTGCTCTCAGCCCCCTCAAACAGCCTTGAAGGCACTTCCAGCCTCCCCCAGGGAGCTGCCATCAGCAGAAACCTCAGGGAAACACCTTCCCCCTGTCAGGTGGCAGTCCTCTGGTACAGACGCTGAAGGGATTTTTTTGTTTCAGGAAGATGTCCCTGCCCRTGAAAGAGGTTGGAATTGGATGAGYTTTAAGGTCCCCCTCAGCCAAAAGCTCCTTTGGTTCTRTGGTTTGTGCTTTTCAAACAAAATTTTCAACAAATTTTGTCTGGGAAAAGGAGGGAGAAGCATCAAGTCAGCCAATTTTCTGATTATACTAAATCGGTCCAGGAGCAGCTGTAAAAATCTGCAGATGACCACGGGGCAGAAGCCTGGGCAGGAAGGAGTAAGTGCATTGCTRTGCCTCAAATTCCTGATGTCCAATGGAACCAGAAAGTTAAATGAGGATTAGACCAGGATGTGGCCAGAAAGGGGCAGTCCAGAGATGGAGCAGCACCKTTCTGGGATGGCATCTTTTTGGGGACAACTTCTCTGTTCGGGTCCATGGTCACCAAAAAACACAAAGGACAAACCCAGTGCAGGAGTGGGGTCAAGGAGCAGGCAGGAGCTGTCAACTGAGGGTCACCCCAACAGAGAGGGATCAAGGCTGCCAAGAGACCCAAAGCCTCACCACCCCTTTCCAGAAAGCTGCAGAGGAACAGAGTGCACATGCTCATATTTACATGAAGAGCAAGAAACCCAATCCCAGGGTGGGGAAA